AATACATATTGATCACCTGCTATGTAAGTGACAGATCCTGCAGGACATAGACTCTGAAGAAGGTTATAATTCAGAGTTCCATTTGGAAATGGATCTGTCTTGGGACTCAGACACAGAGATGCTTTCCTGGATGATTTGTCAATAGGAATTAAAATGCACAGGTTCTTAGCCTGGATACTTCATTTCTGAGAATGTATCCTAAGGAAATAATTAAAATTGCATGCAAAAATTGAAGAACAACATCAAGGATGTTTATTACAGTATTGTTTATAAAAGCCAAAAAATTAGAAGCAATCTAAATGTCAAACAATAGAAACTTAGTTAAACAATTCATAGTAACACCCTATACAATGGATTATAATGTAACCATTTAAAGTATAAAGCAAAATACTATGTATTGTCAAGGCAGGATGTTCATCTTGAGGGGAGAGGCAAGCATGTGACAAAACAATAAAGACAAATGATCAAAGTTTTTTTTTTAGAACTGCAGCTAATCTCTAGGAGCATATAATCAGGATGTGGTGGTATAGTTCATCTCTGTAGGGTGGGTTTATGATTGGTTCTTAATTTTTTCTTCCTCTGTATTATATCTTCTAATTATTTTTAATTCTTTCATTCATTCAGTGCATATTCATTTTTTAAATGTTTTTAATGTTTATTTATGAAGGAGAGAGAGACAGAGCATGAGCGGGAGGTGGGGGGTGGGGCAGGGCAGAGAGAGAAGGAGACACAGAATCCAAAGCAGGCTTCAGGCTCTGAGCTGTCGGTACAGAGCCCAAGGTGGGGTTTGAACGCACAAGCTGCATGACCTGAGCCGAAGTTGGACGCCCAACTGACTGAGCCCCCCGCCACCAACCCCACCCTGGTGCCTCATTCAGTGCATATTTATTAAGCCCTTACTATGTTCTAAGCCGTGGTTTTCTGCAGCGCAAATGTTATATTGTATAATTACGAAAAAAAAACTAAAATTCTAAAAGAAAAGGCCACCCTTAAAAGTTAGTGTAAGCATGCTTACAGGCAGTTGGAGTGAGCTACAGCATTGGAGAGGCCCTGGGAAGGATGAGGGCCAGAGAGAATGAGGCACAGGCAGCTGGGAACTGGGTCTCTGAGGTACGGAAAGCTACATGGGTAGCGACTGCCAACCTTGTTGCATGAAACTCTGTGTTTCGTTCTACCATTTTTCAAAACCAACTCTTATAACCATCTCCCAACTTTCTCAATAGGCCAATGGATAAAATGTTAAGACATGGCAAAGATCTAGTTTAATAACATAGGCCCACAATGTCCCTTTCTTCTAATGGGGGGGTGGGGGGCTGAGAGAAAGCTATTTGAGTAGTCAGTTTCTTCAATCTGGAAAAAGGAAAAAAAGGGCTTAAAGCATCCTCATCATGGTAGAGTCTAGACGGCACTAGCTTGTTTGGGCTGATGTTGACATCTTTTGTCAAGCACATTGTATTTTAAAGCACATACAGCAAAGTACCAGAATGGTGCTGATGGAGAAGTAGAAAAGCAAACATTTGCATGCTTTTCCTGCAAAAATTTTTTTTTTTTTTTGACGCTTTGGCCTTACTGAGGTATGTAATCTTTTCAGGTGCTGAGCCTAAATATTTGTTCTTCTGACATTCAAGTATGTCAGCCATTTTCTAATGCATTTGAGGTTATACCTGCAGTGTGGTTCAGAAAAGCACTGAGATGAGAAATATTTACAGGTTATTTGAAGATAGGCAATCCTAAGACCACTGTGTATCACATATTTATTTCAGCTGTGAGATTTTTATTATGAGAACTCGGATACAATAACCATTGAAACCGAATACCAGAATGCATTGCTTTTGGTGAGTTCTTCTGTGAATTCAGGGAGTTGGATACAGCTTAAACTACACTGATGTCTTCTTGAAAGCATTTTTACAAAAGACGGAAAGATGGTCTTTCCATGGAGAAGAACAAGAGGTCCGAAGGAACTGGGGAACTTCTTAAGTAGAACTGGTACAGCACCTCCCACCTTGTCTCCATCGTTCGTTATCTCCCCCCTGCCCCCCCCACCACACACACATGTACACAGTATCTATTTCATTCCCTGATCTCGTTCTCTTCCCATTGATGTTGGATAATTCTCTTCCAGCCTCTGAAAATAATCGTTCTGGCGTGTGGCTGGCTGAGAACACAACATACAATCAAAACCATGCTGGCCAGATATGTGTAACTGCTTCTCAGCCACTGTTGATCCATCTGTCAGTTTCCGTACATTGGGTTGGAAAAAACATTCAGTGGGCAGAGCAAGTCTACCAAGCATGCATGCGTGTACACATCACACACCCACACACACGCATCCACTTCCTCACTGGCCCTGTGTGGAGATTGTGTGTGTGTGTGTGTGTGTGTATTTATCTAGAACATAAGCCAGTATCTTCCAATGACAGTTTTACCCCTATTTATCTATCAGTTGTGTTTCTTTTTGAATTTCAAAGTAATCTATCCCTTCCCCCCAAAGGAAAAAAACCTGGAATGTTTCTTTCATTAGTGCCATTTGTCAGAAGACCCCTCATCTGTACTCCAGGGTGAACCAGCATGGGGCACAAATATTTCCATCAGCTCTTTTGCTTCCACACACACTCAAAAGAGCAACAATAACAGTAGGAACAAAAAAGGAACCTAGAAAAGGTTGGTTTTCTAAAACCTAAACAAGTTGCGTTAGTCTTTAATGTAACACTTAATTTTCCCATTCATATATGAAAATTCTCCAGAGACTGGTTATGAGCTTGCATTGCTATTTTTACTTTTATCAATAATAATAGTAATTTTTATTGGGTACTTATTTTCCAGAGCTCTCAGAAGTTTATGCAAATCATCTTTTCACCCTCATACCGTCTTCGAGGCACAGTCAAAGGGTACATCATTTTATCCGAGTTGAAAAGATAATGGTAGAAATCGCACAGGGGAAGATAATGGACCCTAGATTTGATTTGAAGTTTTCCTCTGCCCTCCTCCAACCAATTCTCTGTCCAGCCATTGTCACACCAGCGAACAGAGTGATCTTTTAAAAAAGTAAGTTAGGTTGGGGCACCTGGGTGGCTCAGGCAGTTAAGCGTCTGACTCTTGATTTAGGCTAAGGTCATGATCTCATAGTCATGAGACAGAGCCTTGCCTCGGGCTCTGTGCTAAGAGTGCAGAGCCTGCTTGGGATTCTCTCTCTCCCCCTCTCACAGCCGCTCCCCTGCTTGTGCTCTCATGTTTTCTCTCTCTCTATGAATAAATAAATAAACCTTAAAAAAAAAAAAAAAGAGGAAGTTAGGTTATGTCATTGCCAGGCTTGTACTGTGGCTGCAACACCTTGCCTGGTCTGTCTGTCTCTGGCATCTCATCTCCTGCCTCCTTCTTCCTTCACTGGGCTGCAGTGTTACCGGCTGCCTGGGGTCAGGTACCTCAAAATCATCTCCAGACAAGAATTCATGTGAGATCATATATTAGAAAGCATTCCAGGAAAAACCAATAGAATAAGGAAGAAAGGTAAGTCCAGGTAAGAAAGGAAACCAAGTGGGGGTAGGAATTCAAGCAAAACCCCAATGAAGACAACTTAGGTCAGTTCTATAGGGGAGGTCTGGAGAGGTGCTCCTACTGGGGCAACAGAACTGGGGAGTTTATACCCCTACACCCACCAGTCATCAGAGAAGGGCTGCCCTGCAGGGTACACATTTCCAGAGATTCCAGCTCATGGGACTTGCAGGGAAAGTGCATTCTGCAGCCTGAACGCAGCTGTGTAACAAAGAGATGAAGGTGCTGGTGCTGGGACAGAAAGCACACGCAATGAATCTGAATGGATATGGACGAGGTCATGAGGGCGCCTGCTACACTGAGCTTCTGCTCCTAAAACACTGCGCGGGGCCATCTTCAGGCCTCATCAAGGTCATCCTGTTCTGGATCGCTCTTCCCCCTGGCCCCCTGCATGGGTGCTTTCTTTTCCTTAGGGTAATCCCTACTTCATTTTCACCTCTGCTGCTCCCCTATAAGTGGAGAACTGTCTCTGTTGAAGGCCTGCGATGCCCTGCTCTAAAGGCTTCTTAGCCTTTACCCCATCAGTGACGGTTTGCCTGCTTCGTTTTTTGCTTGCTTCCTGTCACTCCAGTAAAACAGAAGCTCTGTGAGGGTAGCGATTTTGTTTGTCTTGCTCTCCACTGTATTCTAGCACCTAGCCCAGCCTCTAATGCCCAGGAGGGACTCACTCGGCGGGTATTTCTCAAAAAGGTGAATAATTGAATATTTTCCTTTACACATAATAATTTCAAGTATTCTACTATAGGTAGCTATTCATTTCAAGATACCTAAAAGCTGCGGCGCCTGGGTGGCTCAGTCGGTTAAGGGTCCAACTCTTGTTATCAGCTCAGGTCATGACTTGGCGATTGGTGAGTTCAAGCTTCGCATAGGGCTTTACGCTGACAGTACAGAACCTGCTTGGGATTCTCTGTCTCCCTCTCTCTCTGCCCCTTCCCTGATCATGTACTGTCTCTCTCTCTCAAAATAAATAAATAAATATTTTTAAAAATACCTAAAAGCAAACTCAGAAGAATAAAACATGCTATGAGAGTATTAAAAACCTAAACTCCACACTAGTTATAATTCAGTTATAATCAAAAAAGAATGTAAGTTAAATAGGAAAGTTTCTCTCTTTACACTGAGTGGAAAAGTCAACAAATGGTAGAAACCAGAAAACTAAAAATGGATTTGGGGGAAGGGTGCTTCTATTTTAATAAGCCAGATTGTTTCTAAATTGGGTCTGGGAACTTCTTTCACACATAATGTGTATTTTTATATTACTCTCCCCCCTAAAAATAAGGTGTTTGTCATGTAAGCTAAGCATACTCAAGTTTTCTGCGGCGACTGGATGAAAATATGGCTCTAATTCTTTCCTTTCGACATCCAGTGGGAATTTGTAGCTCCTCCCACCAGAGTAACTCCTCCCACCAGAGGCCTTATTTATAGCCCCTCCTCTGGAATCTGGGCTTCCTTTTCCCAATAGAAGAATGTAATGTGGTAATGATCCAATTCAGATCGTAGGCCTCCAGAGACTTCTCAGACTTCCAGTCTCCTCTGGAACCCTGTCAGTGCCGATCTGACCAAGTCCGGGCTGTCCTGCTGGAAGAGTAAGAGACCAAATGGAGCCGAGCTCCATTCGTCCCAGTTACGGCCATCGCACACCAGCCAGCCCCCGCCGATGCTCCAGCTGACCACAGAGACACTCGCGCACCGACCGGAGAGGGGGTGAGTCCAGCACGGATCGGCGAATCCACCCAGCACATACACTGACTTGTCAGGAACAATAAATGTTTGTTATTTTTAGCTACTACATTTTGAGGGGGGTTATTGCACGATAGCAGCTAACTGAGATGCTCCTCCACTCTTGGTTATGCTGGAGAAGCAGTTGAAATGGAATCTCACAACAGCTTTGGGCATCTCTGTTGTAGTGTTATTGTCACAGTGGTTTTCAAGTCATTTTCAGGAAAGAAGCCATCTCAGAATTATTTAGTGTAACTGATTAACAAAAAACCACCTCAACAGGTAAGCTCTGTCACAATAGTCCCTTTGTCCCTCCAAGAGTCTCCAGAGGCTTAAAACCTAAGAGTTTACTTTGACAAAAAGGAAAAAAAAACCACGTGCTAAAATAGATAAAATTTCAAAAATAATAATAAAATTAAATTCTGGGTAGTCCTATGTCCTCCTCTACCAATCAATCGTATTTACTAAGACTTAAGTACTTTCTTCTTAATTTGTAAAGAATTAACTATGATTTAATAGTAAGAATAGGATTGAGTGAATCTCTGTTCACTTCTTTTTTCTGAAGTTACAGTCGTCTGTGGGATTTTATTCTCGTTGTTACTTTTACCAGGTTGTTTCCTTGTCCTGTGCAAAGATAAAAATCTAGGCACCTGCCAAACCAAAAGAAAAAAAAAAATAAATAAATAGGAAGGGTGGGGGGAAGGAAGGAGGGAAGCTTTGTTCAATTTAACTGTTCATTGGCCTATATGAAAAAGAGTAACGAATAAACAACCTGCCACAAATTGAGGTGTGTGAGGAGGTGTAGACCTTTAAAGCATATTTCAGTTGCCACAGTTACCATTTTGCAAAATGAAGCGATGAAATTATCGAATGAAATTTTGGCTGCATTTCTCATGGGGGTCCAATACATGTTTTTTATATTGATAGCCTTTTCCTCTCCATTTGCTGTGATACTTTTCGTTCTAATTGTGCCTTGTCTTACGACTAACAGCTCATTTCCCGTGTATTTTTGCTATGTCAAAAGCTGAGATTGAAAAAAAAAATGCTTCTTTTTTATTTCTCTTGGTCTTTCCCTTCCAAACATATGTGCCTATACATGTATTGTTTATTGATGTATAACTGAATCAGAATAGTTTTACTGCTGCACAAGTAGTTTTGGAAATTCAGAGTTCACCTCCTTAAGATAGAACCTTTCATTTTACTTACCAAATTTTGGAGTTGTGGCACCCTGTGACTGTTAATGCACCCTGGAAGCCTTCTTGTGTCCAATGTAAACCTCAAAGACTCCTTCACCTACCTAGGTAACATAATAACAGAAGTTCAAAATCACTCTCTGTCCTTGCCTTCCATGGTGGTTTCTTTGTTTTGTTTTGTTGAATCCCTAAAATCCATTTCTGCTTTCTTTCTAACTTTATTCTGAATTTTTGAGACATGTAGTGTGGGTGGGATTGACCACACATCCAGGACCAGCCAGCTATGTATTTGTTTAAGCAAATCAGTGTATCAGCAACAACAACAACAACAACAACAACAACAACAAAAATCAGAGCATCCCATTTACTGTGTGTTTTCTTAGGCCTGTCGAGGTATCTCATTCCCCCAGCCACAGGAATTGGTGCAGGCATGGGAGCATGGGAGCGGTATCCAAGGCAGGCCAATTAGGGAGAGAAACATGACCCACGCAGACCAATGAGGGGTGGGACACGAATCAGTTAGGGCCAGGAGAGTCCATTCCCAGATTTTTTTTGAGCTTTTGTGAGCTGCTGAGAGATATCTTTAGGCTATAAAGTGAGCCTACCTCAGGATGTGCTAGGAAATGGAGAGAGAGGAAAAATAAAATGAAAACTGGATCGAAGACACATCATTTGAGCCCAAAGTAGAGCTTTACCTAAAAATTCCCTCTAGATTAATCAATTCAATGAGCCAATAAATGCTATTTTCTACTTAAAGCCATTTTGGGTTGGGTTTTTTTTTTTTAAACACAAAGGTTCTCATTAAAAAATTAAAATTTGTAACAGAATAATCTAAAGATAAAATGGTACACCTTAGAAATTAGCAAGTTTCTCATGAAGATATCCAAACAGGGCAGGGACAGCAGAGAAAAAAATCAAACATCAGAGGAGTGGTGGTAAGACTACTATCAACCCTTTTGGTCCTAAGTAGTGGATAAAAATGCACGAGGGCCAGATCAATACCAAACCTATAACCCACCTCACCCAGATAGATAATAACTTCACAGACAAGGCAAGTATAGAGGATAAACTCAAGTCAAATGCTCAAATTCCCTTGAAATAACTGATGCACCGAATTATTACCCCAGCTCTTTGTTCCATTCTGGGAATCTGAATCTGTGGGAGACAACCAGGAAAATGGAAACCACTCTAAACACTAAACTGAGAAACCAAATGGGGACAGGAGGGCAACCCAGACCTCAGCAACTACAGAAAGCTAGAGACTTCTGACACTGGAGGTTCAAAGGGAGGAAGTAGTATTATCAGGGCCCAGGGACAAGGACAGAGGGCTTGTCCATTGGGATTTGGTGACACAGAGGGCGTTTAGTCCCTGCTAGTGGTGCTGCATGACTCCGACAGAAAGAAGAGGAATGCCTTGGCTTCGCCCTCCTCCCAGGCTCTAGTCTCGGGTGAGGGCGTATGGTACCAGCATAGGCAGAAGCCCTCCACTTAGGGAGTCCAGGAAACCCAGCCTGCAGTGATCAGCTCTTCTGTGATACCGAGCAGAGCAGAAGGACAAGGAATAAACCTGAGCCAAGGGCCAGCCCAGAATCCAATCCACACTGGGTGACGATCTCGGTGAATGGAAGCACACCTACCTCAGTTAGCACATACTGATGATGGGTAAAAGGCATAGAATGTTCTTTGTCTCCACCCACAGTCATATTGAAGCCAACATTCAAAACAGCTTGTAAAATTTCTGAGATATGTGTTAAACTTAATATTATTTATTCAGTTAGATCCTGCTGATGATTCATACTAGAAATATTCCACACTCTTAATCCCTGTGCTAGAAGCCTTCTTCTATTGCAGCCTTCCCCACCTCACTAAATGACAACCCCAACCTGTGAGTTGCACAGGCCAAAAACTTTTGACTTCTTTCTCTCTCTTTGTTGTGTGGATTAATTCTCCTCCTTTACAGTCCTGTTTAGCCGAGCTCCTAAAGTTGAGCATTTGCAACAAGTGTTACATAACAGAGTTTATAAAAAAACTTAGATCATAGTTTGAGTAAATTACTTTTAGAGTCCTATCTAAATAATATGACCAAAGAACTTGTGTTCTATTATTCAGTTCAAAACACTTAGTCTGCTCTATATTAATCTTGTATCTTCTAATATATCCATCCATCTGTCCATGCAACATTTATACTTATACTTTGCAACAAATACTCTGTATCCAGAAAAGTGCTTTGAACATGGAATACTAGTATGGGCCATGGTGGGTACAAGTGGTTAAAACTGTTGTTAAAAAAAACAAAACTCATATCTAAATCTCATGGCATTAATGACAGTGAGGTAATTATCCAAGATGAATTTGCTAGACTCGAAGGGTCCCCTTGCATTTATGACACAAAGGAGCGATTGATGGGGCCATTGACTGGGGGTTTGAGCAGACATGTGACAGGAACAGTTACATTTTAAGAGGATCGCCCTGGCTACTCTGTCGTGGAGCAAGGAGGGACAAGAGTAGAGTCAGGGAGATCTGTTCCAAGGTGATCCCAGTGATACAGGTGGAAATGATGATGACTGGGACAGAAGGGTAACAACCCATAGAGGTATATTCAGCTTCTGGATATATTTTGAAGGCAGAGCTACTAGGCTTTGCTGACAGATACGTGTTGGAGGTTATTTTAGAGTTTGTCTGTTATACCACATAACACTGGAAACCACGTAAGGAATGTGATATTTTATCCTAATGCCAACATGGGGAACTCATTCAAAGTATTGAATGAAGGAGTGGCAGAATCAGATCTGCAACTTTAAGGCTCCCATTGGTTTTCAAATACAGAATCAACTGAAAAGACAGAGGATCTACTTAAGGTCACAGAGTTAGTGGCTGAGCCAGGGCTACAGCTCTTTGAGAGTTACCATGCTCCAGCAATATTACAGGGTCCCTTTCTATTCCATGAAACCGTATTTCTCAGCATATACAGGATGATTAAATGTCATATTTAATAGCATTACATCAATATGAAGGATAGAAAAGTCACAGAGAGATTATTTTGGTTAGCAAATATTTGGACTTGGTCTTACACAAAATCTAAAACAAATCCTGAGTTTAATTTTTCCCCTTTTACAACGTTTGTATGTGTGGAACAGTTCTTTAGAAATAAATGTTATTTCTCCTACATGTCATCTCAGATGGCCCTGGGTCCTTCAGAGTAAAAGAACTCTGGGTTTGCTTCCCTTCCACCTCAGTTGCAGACCCAAGTGGGGTGGCCAGACCCTAAGCAGGATCTAAGTAGGCCATCCATATAATGTGGGAGGAAAAGGATTAAGCACACCTTTCTGGAGAGAAAAGGCAAAATATGCATTTAAAGCCTTGCATTGTTATGCTGGCTTACAAGGACCAACTTAATTTTTCATGAATTTTTCAAGGCAGGTGTTAAACCATTGGTAGTTTGAAATCAGTTTCAGTGGGAGTATTTACACCATAGAAATTGGCAAATGCTACAAATCAAGCCTTTTTTTCCCTGCAAGCCTGTTATTAGACACTTAGCAGCATAGTACTGCTGTAAGATGTTCAAACCCTCAGGCCTAGCACTTCTGTTCTAAGAAATATTCAGAGAAACACATAAATTTTTACATATAAGAAAGGTGTCTGGGGGTGCCTGGGTGGCTCAATCGGTTAAACAGCCAACTTCTGCTCAGGTCATGATCTCACAGTGTATGAGTTCAAGCCCCGTGTCGGGCTCTGTGCTGACAGCTCAGAGCCTGGAGCCTGCTTTGGATTCTGTGTCTCCCCCATCTCTGC